CCTTTTTTAAATAGGTCATTTTTACTTTTTGGAAGGACAAAATGATGCTCTGCTATGTGGCAATAGCTCAGATGCAGGGTAAGAAAATGTCTTATTACTTATGATTTATTATCAGTGATGAAAGAGGTTATATGTATAAAATTAATTCAGGAAAATTCAACCGGAAAACCTACTGTAGTCTCTTTCACAGTGTATTATTTCAAATCAATGAAGTTTCTGGAGTATGATACTGGATTTCTGAGTATCGGCATCAACATGATTTGAATTTGCAAAGGTCCTATCTAAGTGTGTCACGTTAGCCTCAGTTCCCAAAAGTAGCCTTTCACATTCTTTAAGCATAAACATTTATTGCCATCTGAGTAGTGTCCTTATTATCAGCCATGCAAGCGGTAACTTTTTTGCATTTCCACAGGAGATGTGCTGACAACTGACAAACTTGTGAGCTGCAAGAGCATGAATGGGAAAGATAGTTTATTATACATTTTATTATGAAAGCACTGAAGTGTTGTTAGAAAATAACATACTTTTTACTTTTCTAATTTGTTTGATCTTAGTTAACCTTACAGTAGTCTTTATTGGATTGTTTTGTAGAGTACAATGTTATCTGATAATAATTTCATCCTGAGTAACTGCCTGCATGTTGACCACTCATACTCCTAAACAGTTTTGTGCTGTATTGTGGTGTGTAATGATTTGGAGTATCTGTTTCAATTAGCATTTCTTCTTCTTTTGGCAGTCAATGTCCGGAAGGATATATATGTGTGAAAGCTGGTAGAAACCCCAACTATGGCTACACAAGCTTTGACACATTCAGCTGGGCATTCTTGTCACTGTTTCGACTGATGACTCAGGACTTTTGGGAGAATCTTTATCAGCTGGTGAGGATCCACTAAAATAAACACTATTACCTCTGCTATAACTACAACATAGGATTTACATACTGTCTTTCATCCACGTACACCCCTAGGATTCTTGGGCTTGAACTGTCTTTGTGTTTCTTTACCACCTGAAACAATGAAGTAATTCCTGGTGTTTTACTGAGTCTCTCAGGTTATACTGCAATATACATTAATAATAAGAATTGTTGGTAATCAAGAATAACTGTCTTAAGGTGGATAAATGAACCCAGATTGCTAAAGAATCTTGTAAAACACAATGCAGGACAATGTAGCACTTTAAAGACTAACAAGATGGTTTATTAGATGATGAGCTTTCGTGGGCCAGACCCACTTCCTCAGATCAAATAGTGGAAGAAAGTAGTCACAACCATATATACCAAAGGATACAATTAAAAAAAAGAACAAATATGAAAAGGACAAATCACATTGCAGAACAGAAGGAGGAGGCGGGGGGGTGGGAAGGGGGAGGAAGGAAGGTAAGTGTCTGTGAATTGATGATATTAGAGGTAGGGAGAGTGGGATGTTTGTGAGTTAATGGTATTACAGGTGATAATTGGGGAAACTGTCTTGATAATGGGTGAGAAAGTTCAAAGACTTGTTAAGTCCCTGGTGGTAAGTGTCGAATTTTAACATGAATGACAGTTCAGAGGATTCCCTTTCAAGTGCAGATGTAAAAGGTCTTTGTAGCAGAATGCAGGTGGCTAAGTCATTTAGAGAGTGTCCTTTCTGGTTAAAGTGGCAAGAAACTGTTTTCTCTTTGTGATCTTGTCTGATATCTGTTTTGTGGGCATTAATCCTTTGGCGAAGTGTCTGAGATGTTTGTCCAATGTACATAGCAGACGGACACTTTCGGCACATGATAGCATAGATTATATTTCTGGATGCGCAGGAATATGTGTTCTTGATCTTATAACTCACTTGGTTAGGTCCAATAATGGTATCAGCAGAATGAATATGTGGACAAAGCTGGCAACGGGGTTTGTTGCAAGGGAAGGTACCAGGGTTGGTATTAGTGTGGTATGTCCTGTGGTGGTTGGTAAGAATCATCTTGAGGTTAGGTGGTTGTCTATAGGAGACTATGGGTCTGTCTCCCAGAGCCTCTTTGAGTATGGTATCCTGTTCCAATATAGGCTGTAGTTTATTGATAATGTGTTGGACAGGTTTAAGTTGGGGGTTGTAGGTGATGACAAGTGGTGTTCTATTGTTGGTTTTCTTGGGTCTGTCTTGAAGTAGATGGTTTCTAGGTATTCGTCTGGCTCTTTCAATTTGCTTTTTTATTTCTCCGGGTGGGTAGTTGAGGTTTATAAATGCTTGGTAGAGATCCTGAAGCTTCTGGTCTCTGTCAGTGGGGTTAGAGCAGATGCGGTTGTATCGAAGGGCTTGGCTATAGACGATGGATCGTGTGGTGTGTTCTGGATGGGAGCTGGATGCATGTAGGTAACTGTATGAGTCAGTGGGTTTTCTGTAGAGAGTGGTGTCTAATTTTCCATTGTTGATTTGTACGGTGGTGTCCAGGAAGTGGATCTCTCGTGTAGAATGGTCCAGGCTGAGGTTGATGGTGGGGTGTAGGTTGTTGAAATCTCTGTGGAATATCTCCAGTGTTTCTTGGCCATGTGTCCAGATCATAAAGATGTCATCGATGTACCGTAGGTAGAGGAGGGGTGAAAGGGGACGGGAGTTGAGGAAACGTTGTTCTAGGTCAGCCATAAAGATGTTAGCACTTTAAAGTGCTACATTGTCCTGCATTTTGCTTCAGCTACCCCAGACTAACACGGCTACATTTCTATCACTATTGTAAAACACAGTCAGTTAATACCAGAGTTATGTCTGGCTCCCAAACTAATGTTACTAGACTATGGTTCCTCCTTAAAGGATACATCCTCTCTCTAACCTCGTTGGGTGTGGAAGGATAAGATGTGAGCCTTCTGCTATGTACCTCTGCATAGTGTAGTGTACTTCTACAGTACAGGATAAAAACCCACTGTAGTACAGTTTCAAATTTGAAGTTTTGATGCAGCTGAGTAGCAGAATCTTATTTACCTTAACCCCAAAAGTGATTCTTGTGCAAAGCCCATGTAACTCTAATTTTGCACTTATGAACAGAATATGACAAAATATTTTTATATGGCAAAACTATATGAGTGATCTAAAATCAGTTGTGCCAACACAATAACTCCTATTATAATAGAACTGTGCACTAAGTATGGACAGTTCACCAGACTATGTCGTAACTATAAAAAACTGAGAACACTGGTTATTTCTTTTTTCCTCAGACACTACGTGCTGCTGGCAAAACGTACATGATATTTTTTGTCCTGGTGATTTTTCTGGGCTCTTTCTATCTGATTAATTTGATCCTGGCTGTGGTTGCCATGGCCTATGAAGAACAAAATCAAGCAACCATGGAAGAAGCAGAGCAGAAGGAGGCAGAATTTCAGCAGATGCTTGAACAGCTGAAAAAACAACAAGAAGAAGCTCAGGTACCTTTTTAATCTAAAATTGCTCTTTTAATCCAAGATTATGCACTGGTCCTTTTCAGATGCACAAGAGAAAAACCCTGCTTCCCTTCACAATAGTAAATTACTTCCCCACACAACAAACACATCCCCTGAACAAGGATGAGCAATAGATACACCCACCTATGGGAAAGGTGCAACTGCTCCAGAGCTCAGCAATTTGAAAGGGCCTGGGGTTCCAGCTGCTGTTGGAGTCCTTCACTCTTTAAATTGCTGCTAGAGTTCTGCATGGCATGTTCCAGGCAACTCTCAGGGCTGCATTGGGGAGAGGGCAGGGGTGTGGCATGGTGCACTCTGGACAATGCTGAGAGCTGGCTGCCTCAGCTCTGCTCCTTCCACCCAAGACCCCACCCCTTCTAGGGGTACAGAGTTGGCTCCCGCAACCTTGTCCAAGGGCAAGTCTTTTGGCCCCTCTGGCAATAGAGAGATAATGACTTTGCTCTACTCCTTACTCAAGGCTACACCTAAATGAAAATCTGTTGATTAGTTACAAATCTGGTAAAGAAAACTGACTGTGTAGAGACACTGGAGATTGAAGTGTCGGGTGAAAATGTGAATAAAACACTGGTTCTGATACATTAATTATTTCCAACTAACTGACTATTACATTCTTGAATGTAACTCGGGAGAAATATCTGTCTGTGAAAATGGCAACATTTGTCATTTATGACTGCTTCTCTTACTTCCCTCACTTTCCCCAGATTGAGCAGAAAATTGCAATAGAACTGCAGGCCTAAAGAAAACTTAGGGTATGTCTACACTGCCACCCTAGTTTGAACTAGAGTGGCTAATGTAGTCATTCGAACTTGCAAATGAAGCCCAGATTTAAATATCCCAGGCTTCATTTGCAAGTTTGAATGACTACATTAGTCACCCTAGTTTGAACTAGAGTGGCTAATGTAGTCATTCGAACTTGCAAATGAAGCCCAGATTTAAATATCCCAGGCTTCATTTGCAAGTTTGAATGACTACATTAGTCACCCTAGTTTGAACTAGAGTGGCTAATGTAGTCATTCGAACTTGCAAATGAAGCCCAGATTTAAATATCCCAGGCTTCATTTGCAAGTTTGAATGACTACATTAGTCACCCTAGTTTGAACTAGGGTGCCTAGTGTAGACATACTCTTACTTATTTTGTGGTCAGTGCTTCCCCCTCAAGTAGTAGAAAATGTATGTATTTTTTCCAGTCTGGTTCCAATTAATGGAACACTACACTAGTGTTGCATCACTTGGAATCAGACTTGAAAAAATACATACATTTTCAATGGTGAGTGTAATTAGTTGTTAGAACAATTTATCAGGGGTCATAGTTGATTCTCCATCACTGACAATTTTTAAATCAAGACTAGATGTTTTTCTAGAAATTATTTTGGGGAAGTTCTATGGCTTGTGTTATACTGGAGGCCAGACTAGATTATTAGAGTCCATGAATCTTTGGGTCATACTTTTGAAGCCTCTCACGCTCCACAAGGGCTTGTCTCTACTTACTGCTGGATTAACCTGCTAAATTGAATACTGATGGCATCCCATCAAGCATGTTACTCCTCATAGGCACTCCCAGAAAATCAATATGAGATATGTCAACTCCAGCTGTGCAATTGTCAGAGCTGGAATTGTGTATCTTACATCGATTTTCTCCATCAGTGTAGACCTGGCCTGATGGACTAGTTGATTGGCTGACATCATATTCCTGGCCAGTGGCTAGAGTTGATCTATACCTTCCTGGTAAGGGTCTGGTTAAAGATTAGCTGAGCTGTGCCTTCTAGAAAAGGCTGGTACTGACTGCAGCTTTTCGAAAAAGCACATATTTAGTCAAAAACTTTGAGATTCTAAGTGGTGTCAGGGTTGCTGTGGAAAGTAGTTTAACTGAATTTTATGAAGACCTGGAGTGATGTCACTGGACATTCCTAGTCAATTAAGGAGTTGGTGACTATCCATAAATTCATCTAGGACCAAGCAAAAATTATTTATAGAAATGTTATCCCCCTGATACTGAGGATATTTGCTTATATTTTCTTTGCTCTGAGTCTACATTTCCTGAACTTTGTATAGTTTGTCTGCTGGTTAAGATTTACAAGGGGAAGAATTCATTGCAAAAATGCTATATTGCTCTCTTTTCTTCAATCCAACAAAAACTGTTGGAAAAATGATTGTTCACCTATATTGTTCCAATAATGCAGTTTTCTTCTGAACTTCTCTACTCCTTGTTGGGTTCAGGGCTAGAATATCAGAGCCACTTTTGGTCTGGATTCTAGTAAATTGGTGAAATGTTATTCCTTGTATATTACCAAAAAGGTGCTTTGTGCAATATGCCATGCTTTATGAAGCGGCATCTGTGCTTCACTTTCACAAATATCAAATTCACTCACTTTAAAATAAATTTTAAAATGTTAATGTTGTACAGTGTAATTATGTGTAACTTTTTGACACACAGGCAGCAGCAGCTGCTGCACTAGCAGCTGAAACAAGAGAGTTCAGTGGAGTAGGTGGAGTAGGAGGATTCTCTGAAAGTTCTTCTGAAGCATCAAAATTAAGTTCAAAGAGTGCTAAAGAGAGAAGGAACAGAAGGAAGAAGAGAAAACAGAAAGAGCAGTCTGAAGGAGAGGAGAAAGATGAGGAAGAATTTCACAAATCTGAATCAGAAGATAGCATCAGAAGGAAAGGTTTCCGATTCTCTATTGAAGGGAACAGGCTGACATATGAAAAGAGGTTCTCTTCTCCACACCAGGTACAGTAGTAATATCCATTAAACTGTGTCTTTCTTGCATCATAATCCATTTGTCATGGAGAGTGCAGTATTGGTAAGGACACAAGGTTAACATCCTTATTCTTGAAGGTGTGTCACAGGATTTTCAATGTCATTTCAAATGTCCAGGACTTTTTGTTACACACTTATAGTGAATATAATAACAACACAAGGCAGTATCACTCCAGCAGTAAAGGTTATGTCTACACTTATGGTGTTATGTAGACTACAGACACTGCACACACACACAACCCCCTAGGTATAAACAGCAATGTAGTTGATGAGTCATTGCTTAGAATAGTAGAGAAAAGACCTGCCAGGACTTTATGGTATATCTTTTACCTACTCTCTAAGCAACTCTACACTGCTAAAAATAGCAGTGTAAACATCCCTTTACCTTCCTGCTGCCAGAGCATTTCTTTGCCATGCGAAGTTACACACAGACATGTAGACAAAGCCTTTTTTTCACTGCAGCTGTTGGCTACATGTTGCCTATATGCTACTATCAGAGTAGACAAGGCCATAGTGTTTCTAATTAAACCATATAAGGATGACAATGCATAATCATTCAAGTCAAGAGGTGTATTCAAATAAGCTGCACACATGCTTAAAAGGCTACAGGATTGTTTAATGTGAGGTGTGAATCTGAAAAGACTTACCCATATGAATAAATTTACTCTCATGAGTAGCCACATCAAATTCATTGGGACTACTCACACACGTAAAGGTATTCATATGCACATATGTCTTCGCAAGATGAACCTTGTTAGCATTTGCGTAAGGAATTGCAAACATTAAAATCCTCTGAGAACTCTTTGAAGGATTGGGACCTAAAAGGATAGTATCTAGGAAAATATTTGCATTTCTTAAAACAAACTCATATTTGTTTGCTGTCTATTAGTAAAAACTAGGGCCCATGAAATTTGCAAAAATTTATTCAATCAAGGATGCCGAGAAAGCAGGAATAACTAAGAGTCTAGTTTCAGTTTTATTAATTTATGAACAGCCTGCAATAAAATATGCAGAGAAATAGAGAAGAATTTTCATTAAACATCATCTTTTACTCTAATTAAATTGATTTAATTTTTCTAAGTGGTAAAGTAACTAAGGACAGCAGCAACCACTATGTGCTTCCTCTGATTACTTTTACTCCCAACCTCTACCTAAAGCATGTGTGTGTGTGCATGTGCAATTCTTTTTTTGTCTATGACATAAATCTTTATAACATATTAACTTCGTATTTTTCCACATGAAAACATTTTTTAAAAATCAGCTACTAATTGTATAATTTTCTTTTTCTTTAGTCTTTGCTGAGCATTCGTGGCTCCCTGTTCTCCCCAAGACGTAGTAGCAGAACAAGTCTTTTCAGCTTCAGAGGTCGAGCAAAGGATGTAGGATCAGAAAATGACTTTGCCGATGATGAACACAGCACTTTTGAAGACAATGAGAGTAGAAGAGGTTCTCTCTTTGTTCCTCACAGACATGGTGAACGGCGCAACAGTAACATTAGTCAGGCTAGTAGGTCATCCAGGATGGTACCAGTTCTTCCAGCAAATGGGAAGATGCACAGCACTGTAGATTGCAATGGAGTTGTTTCTTTGGTTGGAGGACCTCCAGCTCTCACGTCACCTACTGGACAGCTTCTCCCAGAGGTAATCATTGTCAGAAGTGGCTGTTTTATGACTGTAAAGACATTTCTAATAGTTGAGGCAAAATGTACTCTTCATACTATACCCCCTTGTGTTTTTACAAAATAAAATAATTTGGGAATGAACTCTGGTTGATCAAGCTGTGAATGATCCTGCATATTTTAACACCTTTAATATTCTCCCCTCTTGGCACTGGCTAAAAACTGAAATCTATCTTCCTATATGTAATGAAATACCTGATAATACTTTTTAATATAGTGGGAATTAACAAGATAAAATAGTAAATAATGTCGCAAGCAAAATGTATGGCTTTATTGTATAGCCAATATATCTTAACTGAAAATTTAAGTTCTTCAATCCTTTATCAAATAGATGTCAAAAATTACAAAAATAATAAATGGGTTGTATATAATTAACAGAATAAATTAAGCCATGGTATACTTTCCATTAATTATGCATATGCCTATCAATAAAATACCGTCTCTGTCTTGAATGGGCTATGATAGCATTATTCTGCCAATTTTAGCTTCTTATAGGTTCATTTTTGTATAAATTTTAGTGTGATTATACCATTCTTGATTTTGGTTTGAAAATTAAGGCTTAAGAAGAATTAAGAAGAATCAGCCCAACAAAGTGTACATAGGCCTTTTGCGCAGACAGCTGCCTGTCCATATGGGCTGTGCAGACACAGATTCATTAAAAGATATGGCCACATCAATATCTTAGAAAGATATTTATGATAAAGCTCACTGCCAAATTGTGTTGAACTTTTTTTCAAAATTTAAAATAGTCAAATTCAATGCAAATTGAATGATTGGCCCCTGAAGCAGCAAAGTATGTAAGAACATGCTTAATTTTAAGCATACAAGTAGTCCCATTAAAATCAATGTGGTTATTCACATGCTGAAAGTTAGGTATGTGGTTACATTTCTATCTGAACTGGAACCTAAATGAAATCAGTATGTGAACCCATACAACTCTCATTTTCCTGGGAACTTACTAAATGTTTATATAATCTATACAGTGTTTACTTCTTAAATCAACACACATGGTGATAGTCTGTTTTATCAGCATTTTATTTTCAGGGCACCACAACAGAAACGGAATTAAGAAAGAGACGGACAAGTTCTTACCATGTTTCTATGGATTTCCTGACAGAGCCCAGTGCAAGGCAAAGAGCAATGAGTATAGCCAGCATACTCACAAACACAATGGAAGGTATGTTTGATATGATTAAGTATATGTCCTTGTCTTGTTTTTGATTTGTGATGCATTAAGAACAATAATTTTCATAAATAGCTGGAAAGAGAAAAACTCTGCTACACTTGATTTCTTTACCTAGAAGTGTACATGGGAAGGGATGGTGTGATGGCTAAAGCACAGTACAGTGATTTAGAACACCAGGCTTCTATTCCTGGCTCTGTCACAAACTTCCTGTTTGACATTGGGGAAGTCACTGAGGACCAATCTTTACTGAGTACTTCTGCTGGGATAGCTGTGTCAGTTGGGGTGTGAAAAGATCTGTGACTGATGTAGTTTGTTGGCAGATGTCCTTAGTGTAAATGTAGCTATATCAGCAAAGCTGTGCTTTGATGGTACAGGTTGTTTTGCTCATGATAGTGATTTTATTATCAGTACAAAGTGCCTACATCAGAAGTGCATTGGCATTATAGTATACCATAAAGTTCTCCTGGTGTAGACATGGCCTAGGGCTGTGTCAATGCTTGACATTTTACATAAAATCTCCAACTATTATTTTCGCAAATGCAATTTCATTGGGAGGCAGCAAAGACAGTAATGCTAGCTAGAGCAGCCACTTGTGTTTTAGCTGCCATGTCATGGAACCCTGCTCAGATCAGGTATGTTTGCAGTGTCTAACATTGCCACCAGTGCTACCTCTGGTGGATCTGCAGTGATAATAGCACCAGGTGGTCCTCAGAAATCCATGCTTCCAAGGGCAGGAGTTGCCCAGTTTTGAGAAGGAAATGTATATAGAGTTAAGCTGAAAGTTATTTAGTTCCATAGCACAAGAAGATTACTGTTTTGATTATTAACCAGCTCTTTTAGTGTCTACACCTGAAGTAAGCCATTGTCAGAATGATCTAAGAGGTAGGTCCTGCTTCCACCTATTGTAAATCACCATGAGCTGCATCTGTTTTTGTGTCAGAGGACCCAAGCCCATGTTCAGATTTGTGAGATGTACTATTTCTGAAGAAATAAATGTATAAATAAGGTTCATTTTTTCCAAGGGAAAATTATAATAAATCTCATCTAGTGAGTTTAAGTTTGGAGATGTAATTCTAGTGACTAACCATGCAGTAGCCAAGTCCAAATGAGCATGACCTAGAATTTTATGCTTCTGGACCATAATCCAGTGTCATCTGGCATGCTGGAATAAGAATATCAAATTATTAGTTCTTCATAGGATAAGATGGAATTTGAACTATGCTACTCTTCCATGTACACCAGAATTCTGCTATAGTTTCCTTTGAATTAAAGCTGTGTTTTGCTTTTTTCGTAGATTACAGGTTTGTGAATGGTTATTATATTAATGAAATATTCAGGGTTCCTTTAACACCAGTTTTAGAATACATGAGGTCAAGTTCCTCATTTCAGTTATTTAACTTTTGCTTTGGCTGGACATCAATCTGGGTTTCAAGGGGTCTGTTTCATCATTCCATTAGGCCACCTAAACATTGAAGAGAATGCTTAGGCTTTAAAACAAAACCCACTTGATACATACGATAAAGAGCTCTCTTTTTAAATTTGTTTTATACTTTTCCACTAGAACTTGAAGAATCCAGGCAGAAGTGCCCACCATGCTGGTATAAATTTGCGAACACATGCTTGATCTGGGATTGCTGTGCTCCATGGTTAAAAGTAAAACATATTGTAAATTTAATTGTGATGGATCCATTTGTCGATCTTGCTATTACTATCTGCATTGTTTTAAATACATTATTTATGGCCATGGAGCATTATCCAATGACGGAACAGTTTAGTCACGTGCTTTCAGTAGGAAATCTGGTAAGTCTTCCATAATGTATCATGACATACAAATACATTTCTCTTTAAAAGAAATTACTGAGTGTCCTTAACATGGCTTGCAAAGGTATTTTGTATCACCTGTGATATGTTCACAAGCAGCTTTGTTTAACTATGTATATTTAAGCTACACTGTTTGTCTCTTCTTTAATGGAGTGTTTGTAAAAGATCTCAAAAACATATCTCCAGTGTTACCTATACAGATTGCTAGTAAAAAGTTTTAATTCATCCCCCTTCAAAATGGCTCCTAGTTGTAGAACAAATAAGGAGCAGACACTAGAAGTCCTTTAAAATTTTCTGATATTTTGAATGTCTCCCTTAATTGTCACTGATCTCACAGAAAGGCATGCTCCCAGAAATGGTAATGTGACAAAGTACAGATGATCACACTTGTGGATTATTAGCAATGTGGTTACAAGATACCCACCCTATGCCTTGTTTGTGGGGTACTTTCTTGTTCAGTGGAACTTCAGATTTAGGGTCAGAATGTGCTTGGCCTTGAATGGGTGAATATGGGTCAGAATGGGAAGAGGAAACTTCCCCCACCTTGTACCCTCTACACTAGAGCCAGACACAGTTCAAAAGGACAGTTATGATAATATAGTTGACCTTCTATAATACACAGCCATGGTATTTTAGCTGGTGAGTCCTGCATGTATGGTATGTCTAGACTACATGCCTCTGACGACAGAGGCACGTAGATTAGGCTACCCAGCATAGGAAAATGAAGTGGCAATTTAAATAATCGCTGCTTCGTTGACATCAAAGGCATTTGTTGACCTCCCAGGTAAACCTCATCCCAGGAGGCATACCTGGGAGGTCAACAAATGCCTTTGATGTTGACCGCAGAGTATCCAGACTACCGCGCTGAGCCGACAAACAGCTGATGGCTCAACATGGCAGCCATTTAAATTTAAATGAAGCAGCGATTATTTAAATTGCCACTTCATTTTCCTATGCTGGGTAGCCTAATCTACGTGCCTCTGTCGTCAGAGGCATGTAGTCTAGACATACCCTTTAGTGTAATTATTTGTAGCCAAATTAGATCTTTTTGAAAAACAATCATTAGATCCCAAATTATGGAAGATCAATCACATCCGTTGATAAGCTGTTTCAGTGGATTAATTATCCCCTTACTAATAAAAATGTTCACCATATTACTAGTTTGAATTTTTCTATAGAAACTACTTCCTGCTACTCTTCCTGATGTGCTAGCAACCCCCATGGAAAGCTAGGAAGAGGACCATGGTTCTACCCCCTGGAAAGCACTGGGTACAGATGCACAGGGGAAAACATAATACATCTTGGAAGATGGTAGAGTGGGTTGACAGTGCATTCTAGAGGTCATCCCGGGGTTGGAGGGTTGCTGTAAATCATCCTCAATACAAGTCTATGTCAAAATGAAGAAATCTGCTTTTGAATAAGGTTAGCTGTATCTCAAGAAATTTAGCAAAGTTTGCATTTGAGAAGGAAGGAATAGATACCAGGAATGACTAGAATGGGTCTATGTGACAATCTGCATACATGCTTATTAGCAGCTTGAAGAGAAGACTTATTTCCCTTCTTTGCTGTTTCCCATTTAGCAATTAAATGTTGTGAGGCATGCTTTAGCTTCACTTCTCAATTTGGTTGCTAAATTAGTGAATGGAAGTATTTAGAAGTTATGTGGGTTTATCATAGAAAGTCCTCTTATGGTAAGAATCACTGGAACATATAACTTGTCAAATTCATCATTTTTTATTATTTTAATCTAAAAGATGCTCCAATATTAATTTTACTTTTAGGTCTTTACTGGGATCTTCACAGCGGAAATGTTTCTCAAGATAATTGCCAAGGATCCTTATTATTATTTTCAAGAAGGCTGGAATATTTTTGATGGTTTCATTGTGAGCCTTAGTTTAATGGAGCTTGGTCTTGCAAATGTAGAAGGATTATCTGTTCTTAGATCATTCAGATTGGTAAGTACATTAGTAAACACTGTAGGTTTTTACATTATGTATTTATACATGTGAATATTCTGCTTCATTTTTAATTTTCTCTTTGTATATTATAAATCTGGTGTATATTAATTTTTCCAAAAGAAGTACTCTAATAAATCCTCATGATCAAGTCAGAAGTTCATCACCCAATTTTTTTTAAAACTGATAAATAGCACAGCCACTGGTTGCATGCATGTCATCGATCTGCACAATGCATTAGTAATCTGACTCTCTTCTTCAAGTGATTGTCCACACAGATACTGCTTTTGGTGAGATAAGAGCCTTTTCAATACTAGTATCTAATGGAGCTACGTTAATTATATAGCTGGAGTTGACGTATCTTAAATCGTGTTTCCACGCAGTCCACACAGCAAAAGATCAATGGGTGCAAACACTCCCATTGACTTCCTTACTCCTCGTGAGGAACAGGAGTACTGGTGCCAACGACAGTGTCCCCTGAGTTCAATTTAGTAGGTCTCCACTATACCTGCTCCCCGAAAGATTGACAGCGGCAGTGTCGATCTTCCGCATAGTGAAGATGTAGGCTTTGTGTGTAGCTAGTTCTCCTACAATTTATAAAGCTTATACAGTTTAGCTTATTATTTATAAACTTTGTCACTTGGCTTAGTTGCCCACAGTATAAGGACATTTTCCTGGTAAAGACCCTTTATTCAAAGACTCCCCTTTGCCATACAATAGCCAAAATGAGAGAAAGGACAAATATGTGCGCATAATTACTCTGCAGATGGTTACCAGCTCTGGCCATCTCATCTACTCACACACTGGATTTTTGCAGTGTTTCTAAAGCCCAAACCTAAGCTCCGCCACTTGGGGCTGAAGCTGAAGTCTGAATTCCCCCAATGCAGGGACCCTTGTGGCATGGAGCTCTGGGTAATTGTCATTTGCGTCCACCTAATGCCAGCCCTGAAAAAGTGCAGGGCTACATCAATCTACTCCTCGGGAGAAAGACATGAAGGACTTAGATCTCTTTGGATGAAATACCTCAGATGCGAGTGTCAAATTTTCAGACACTGCTCTCTGAGTATCAATTTCTGTTATAGTATAGACTTTCCAATTTAATGCACAGACTCCCCAAAGATCAGCACAAGGAACTGAAGTGCCTGATAACAGAGGATGAGCCTGGGGCCTGAACAGCAATTGAAGCATGTTTAATACATCAAACAGAGCAGCCAGATTGATGGCCTCTGCCATGGTGATGAGAAAATCTTCTCGGCTGCAAGCCAAAGGACTTCTCATTCAAAGGCAATGAGCTCTTTAATAGTTGTATTTATGAGGCATTCCATATCTAAAAAGACCTTAGAGCCTATCAAAAATCTTTGGGATTGTATTTCCCAATCCCAAAAAGAAAGCAGCTCAGACAATAGTAACCATTTTAGAGACAGAGACGATATTGTTAGTATATCTACAGCAATGATCTTCAGACCTTCTGAGGAAGATGTAGCAATTTCACCAAAGGTTACCACAGCTTATTCCTCAGGTGCTCCCCAATTTGGGACTTCAGCAAAGAGCAGTTTTGATAAATACATCTAGGATGTGTCTACATTGGCATGATTTTGCGCAAATACTTTTAACGCAAAAGTTTTTGCATTAAAGTATTTGTGCAAGAGAGCATCTACACTGGCATGTGCTTTTGTGCAAGAGATGTGCTTTTGTGCAAAAGCATCCATGCCAGAATACTTGCGCAAGAGGGCTTATCCATGAGCGGGAGTGTCAGAGTATTTGTGCAAGAAGCACTGATTTCCTACATTAGAATGTCAGTGTTCTTGCTCAAATACTCGCGGCCAGTGTGGTCAGGTGGCAAGATTTTGTGCAAAAGCAATTGCAAGCAATCGCAAAAGCAAGACGCAGCCCTAGAGTCTAGCTTGATGACCTCCAAATCTTTCCAACCCTTTTGGTAACCTTCTTTCCTGTTTCCAAGAAGCCTGGGTTCAGATAACCTCAGACCAATGGGCCTCTACTATCATTAGGAAGGTGTATCATGTCCATTTTCTAGCTATTCCAGTCCCTTTTCCATGCTTCTCATCCCTCTTCAGGGATTCTTCACCAAAGACTGTTGAAGCAACAGGTGGATTCTCTCGTTCAGCTGGGAGTGATGGAGGAAGTGGTCTCAGAATTTGGGGGAAAGAGATTTTATTCTCACTACTTCCTAGTCCCAAAGAAGAAAGAGGGCTGGAAACCTATCATCTGTCTTCATTGCTTCAGCACCTTCATGTGTTGCTTCAAATTCTATATGGTTACACTTGCATCTATAATTTCCCTTTAGATCTCATGGACTGATTCGTGGCTCCCAGCTTTCAAGAAGCCTCACATCTCAGTACAATCAGCTCATTGAAAATACTTGTGGTTCCTTCATGAACTCCATAGTGCCAGTAATGTTCACCAAAGTTCTAGCTCTAATGGCCTTCCATTGGAGAAGATAGGGATCTTTATGTATCTCCACTTAGACATCTGGTAAAGAGGAATTTTTCTCATCAATCGACTGACTCACTTTAAAGGACACAAGACCTCTTTGCCTTGCTTGGATTCAGAATTAATTGAAAAAAATCCACAGTGCTGATCCCAAGTCAGACCTTAGCATTTATCAAGCACTGTTAAGCCCCAGGCTTCTGAAAGGCATCAGACTAAACTCAGTTTCATGCCAACCCTATACTTATTCCAGTATCCCAGAAGGAACCTGCTGCAGACTCTTGGGGCACATGTTTGCATGCATATATGTCACATCACATGCCAGACTCCATCTGCATCCCTTTTAAGAGTTGTTGAGATCATTGTGTCTTCCAAAGAAGTAGAGCAAAGCTTGAGTATCCTTAATGTCTTGAGAAATCTCCTTATTAGAGTTGTGGAGGGATAAAACCAAGGTGTGCAGTGGACTATTCTTTTTCATGGCCTTTACTGACCAGGATCCTTTTAATAGACAACTCCACTAACAGTGAGAAGCACTTCTGAACCATTTAAAGGTCCAAGGGAAGTGGTATCCCAAGTCAGCCACCGTACACATCAGTGTTCTGGAACTTAATGCTCTCCAGCTAGTATGCAGAGCTTTCCTGCCCCATCATTCTCATATCTTTAATTTACCTGCATTTGCTCCTCTGCATCTCAGAGAAAATACAAAAGAGAAAATACAAAATTAAGCCATTGGTTTCAGACAGAGTTGAAACCAAAAAGCAATTTCAGGCAATTGGAATTCAATGATACATCTATGAATGAAACTTTCCAAACCTGTGAGGATGCAATGATGCATTCTAGCAGCAATATTTTCCCACCAGGATGATCTTTGTGACAGGAGGAAGTGAACTTGGGGGAAAGGAGACAAAATCTTTCTCTCATCTGGATTTAATGATACAGGGTAAAATTTTCAAAGGTGTTTAAGTCCCATATTCAAATGTGATTTAGACACTAGGTCACCTTAGTTCCATTAACTCGCAGTGACATTTAGGATCTTAGGTGTCTATTACTTTTGAAAGTGAGATTTAGGATCCTACATTTATTAGGTTCTTTTGAAAATTTTACCAACTCTCCTCTTAAATATATGGGTGTTTCTCCCCAACTGACAAATTCCCTTCCTATATGTATACCGTTAGTAAGTACTCTCTTACATGGAACTGAAAGCAACATAATATTTATATTCTGATTTATTTAAAGGATATAGGGCCCAAGTCATTCCTGAGATAATTCCACTGAGTTCAGTGGAATTATCTCAAGAATGAATTTGGCCATTGTCTGTGTGCCTTGTTAGCAACTGGCAATCAGCACTTTTTCCAGGGGAACTATATCCTTGAGTAAATCAGTGGACATGATAAGCATATTCATTATTGTACTATTGATCCCTACGTTTGGGGTGTAACTGAAGCCTGCAGTGAAAGCCTACATTTTTTGGCTGTTAGGAGTTTGAATTAGGACGTCAGTCAATAAGTGCTTTATTGCAGAAACCTGCTGAGCCTTTCTGGCCAGCATGTATGAAAACATATGTGGTGACTAAAGGTGGTAGCAATGAAATGAGACATTTTACAGTTATGTGTTTTTGGTAACTAAAAGTCTGAAATGCACTGATGATTTCATTGTAATTTGTAGCATCGGTAACAATGCTCCTCTGCTCTTATTTTCCAGCTTCGAGTTTTCAAATTGGCAAAGTCTTGGCCCACACTAAATATGCTGATAAAGATTATTGGTAACTCAGTGGGGGCTTTAGGAAATTTGACCTTGGTGCTGGCCATCATTGTCTTCATTTTTGCTGTGGTTGGTATGCAACTGTTTGGCAAAAGCTACAAGGAATGTGTTTGCAAGATCTCCAATGACTGTGAACTTCCACGCTGGCACATGCATGACTTCTTCCACTCTTTCTTGATTGTATTCCGAGTGTTGTGTGGAGAATGGATAGAGACTATGTGGGACTGTATGGAGGTTGCAGGGCAAGCCATGTGCCTTATTGTTTTCATGATGGTCATGGTGATTGGAAACCTAGTGGTATGTACATAATTTATTTTACAACAAATGATGCCTTATATGATAAAATGTGCTTTTAATTTTAACAGAGATGAACTAAAGATGGTTAAGACCTAACTTTAAAAAAATTAAACTATCCCAAATCATCTAATATTTAATCAAAATAAGGCATGTTAATATCATAACTGAACCTGGAATT